ACGATCTTCCCCCACCAACCTCTGCTTGGAGAGTAGTGATTAGGTAGGGGTCCTCTCCCGGTCAATGTAAATGTGCTTTGCATAACGCCCTTTGGATTAATTATGCACACTGAAGATGGGTATCGGATACAACAGTACGGGTAAGATGGAGTTGAAAAAAAACCTATTCCTCTATTCTAAGTGTTTCTCCTTGAAAAGAGCCAGCATTTTAATTTCCGCCTCTCGTGGCAGTTCCCATTATGAGACATTTGTGGCGTGGCTCTTTGGGTTAATCAAGCACTGGTGTTACGATGGGTATCATATATAACAGTGTGGGTACCGTAGAATAGAGAAAGCCAAAAAGTTCTATTCTAATATAAAATTCTTTCTCCTTGAAAAGAGACACCGTTGTTAAATTCCGCCTCTCGTGGCAGTTCCCATTATGAGACATTGGAGGCGTGGGTCTTTGGGTTAATTAAGCACACTTGTGGTAATATTGGTATCAAATATAACAGTACGGGTACTGTGGAGTTGGGAAAGCAAAAAAGTTCGATTCTAAAAGTCTTTCTCCTTGAAAAGAGACAGCGTTTTGAATTTCCGCCTCTCGTGGCAGTTCCCATTATGAGACATTGGAGGCGTGGGTCTTTGGGTTAATTAAGCACACTTGTGTTAATATCGGTATCAAATATAACAGTACGGATACTGTGGAGTTGGGAAAGCAAAAAAAGTTTTATTCTAAAAGTCTTCCTCGTCGAAAAGAGACAGCGTTTTGAATTTCCGCCTCTCGTGGCAGTTCCCATTATGAGACATTGGAGGCGTGGGTCTTTGGGTTAATTAAGCACACTTGTGGTAATATCGGTATCAAATATAACAGTACGGGTACTGTGGAGTTGGGAAAGCAAAAAAGTTCGATTCTAAAAGTCTTTCTCCTTGAAAAGAGACAGCATTTTGGATTTCCGCCTCTCGTGGCAGTTTTCCATTATGACACTTAACTATGCCGGACTTTGGACTCCAGCCCCACTAAGGACCCCTCCCGTAAAACATATCTCAGATGGTCTTGTTTGCCCAACTGGTATAGAGACCAGGGCCAAATAGACAGCATTTTGAATTTCAGCCTCTCGTGGCAGTTTTTATTATGACTTAACTATGCCGGACTTTGGACTCCAGCCCGACTAGGCACTATTAAAAAGGACCCCTTCCGTTAATATTATCTCAGATGGTCTAGTTAGCCCAACTCGTGTATGGAGACCAGGGCCTTGTGATACAGGCATTTATTGTTTTGTTTATATGATTCCATAACTAAATATTCTTGCTATGTATATGTACAGCATGTCAGTAGCGGGGATAATCCATGTACTGACAGTCTACAGCCTGTCAATAGCAGGAAAAAATCCCGTGGGTGGTCGACGCCATCTTGGTTTGACGGCATTATAGAACCGCCGCTCGTGCCAGTGCCGCGAGCCGCGGTGGCATATTAGGCGGTTTTCCAAACCGAGGCTACCGGCTCGTGACGCGAGACCATCCCAGATGTCATACTCATAGCTGCCAGTGACTGCAGTGTATTCGCGCTTCACTAGGCGGCGCTTTAGGACCACTGTGTCACGGTCAGGTGTAGGGGTTGACATATAACGTTATATTTACGAAAAAAGCAAGTTAAAAGCGTGAAATTTGTTGTGAAATGTCTAGTATTTTCTCGATGTAAAATTTTGTAAACGTATGATAGAAAACCGTTTTAATGGTTGAAGTTGTTCTCTTAATCAAATTTATAGCACCTGTGTAAAAAAACACGTTTGACATCTTTCGTTCAAAATGGCGCTTTGCTACGGCGGGAATTATTTAATGTTCTGGGACGTTTTTTCGTACAACTTTCCCGGTGCGTTTCAAGATTCTGTTGGCCGTTTGCCTTTCTTAACTATGTTGTAGAACTATGGGAATATTTCTCAGTAGGTTTATTGCCGTTCCCGCGGTGTTTGGAGGAGAAAATGCGGGTTTCCTGACCTGGAGAATATTTGGGAAGACAAGAAAATGGCGAGGTAGCCCCTGAAGATGTGCGTGATTTGGAGACGACTTATTCCTACAGGTAACCGTTAAGCAACAAACTATTTGGCAGACATTATTCCATTAATAAGGATAAGAACATGTCAAACTCAACAAGTTACAATCCGTAAAAATGGTGTATTTCTGTAACTTCTGAGTGATTTGAGATAGACTTGAAAGAACGGCTGATTTTGCCGCGTTTTCTTGAACATTTTCCGTGCGTGGTGTAACGCTAGGTCTCATTTGTCAATTCTACAGTTCATATTTGTCAAAAGCAACGATAACAGAAACTTGTCTTTTGTTTTTAACGGCGTGGTTCAAACACCTGTTGGAATGTGCGCGCGTGCACAATTAAATCCCTCTGATGTCCCCTCCCAAAACCTCGCTTAAATACAGTAAGGCTGGAAACTCCGGTTCAAATCGTCGAAATAAACACAGCATAGAAAGCTTGGAAACTTCATCCCGTATTTTTCTGTAAACGGGTAATAGAAAGACTGAGTTAACCGTGTTTTTTGTTGAAGTTCTCTTTGTAATTAAATTAGAAGCTTTTTGGACAGGGCCACATGATTGAACACCTGTGTAAAATAAGCACATGTTGCTTGTCTCGTTCAAAATGGCGGTTTGGTACACTGGACATGTTCTGGGTTGTTATTTTTCTCCAACTTTTGGGGAACTTTTACGGGTTTTTATCGGTAGAATGTCTTTCTTAACTGTGTGGTGGAACGATGGAAAAATTTAGAAGTAGAATAAATGCCGTTCTCGTGGTGTTTTCAGGATAAAATGCGGATTTCCTAACCTGGTGGATTTTCGAGAACAAAATGGCGAACAATTGTTTGGTTTGAAGACAACATCGCTTTTTCTCACAGGTAAGCAACAAACAATTTGGCAGACATTATGTTGAAGAACATGTCATATTCAACAAGTTATATTCCGCAAGAAATGGTGCAGTTCTGTAACTTCCGAGCGACCATTCCCTTTTTAAGACAGCCTTTGAAAGAGTAACGGAATTTTGCCGCGTTTTGTTGAACATTTCCCATGTGTGGTGTGCTAAATATATGCGTAAGTCTAATAAGTCAAATATGTAACGTTGCGAGTTTAAATTAGTAAAAAAAGAATGCGT